ATATGTACATGTATGATATATATTAATATAGTGTCGATAACGAGTGCATTACACCTGTGCGTTTAGTCGCTAAGCGTCTTTGTCCGCATAATTTCAGCAGTATAATTGGTTAGGCTAGTTTTGTTTCCCAGTTGATAGTCGAACAGCACCTCTATCAGTTACTGCCAAATATCGTGCACAACATATCCGCCGATTTCAATACATACTATGCTTTTGCGCCATACATAGTCTCGTAAAGGCGAGATTGTGATAGGCCGCCACAATCTGTTCCCACACAGCAAGCTTAGATGACAACATGCAGACTTGTTAAAATGTGCCAGCCGGTTTTCTAACTCATCTTATGCCTACCTCCCACGCCTACCTATCGGTGCTCAGGCTTTTTCCCATGCGCTCGGCACCAAAGGGCAAATTATGCCCGGCTACAATTGGTCTCGCGACAAACGCTTACCGTTCTTCCCGAAGATCGACAGTAAGGGGTGCATCCCCAACGACCAACCTAGCAGATAGTGTCCATAGTAGTTATATCTGACAAGCTGGTGCTCATAGTATTTATATCTGAGATGCTAATTCCCATCGGAAGGTATCAATAGTACCAAATACATGTGTATGCAGAAGACTGAAAGGTTTAGTGATTGTAGCACTGATTTTGACTACGCTTCACGCGGATGGGAACTTGGCAACGCCTCCTGCTTGACGTACACTTATTGATATTTTTAAAGTAAAATGAGAAACACATTGAGCGTAAAACGACTATTGTAGCACTGCATTGGATTGTCAATCATTCGGCGTAGAGTCCATATGTACTATCGGTTGTAGAAATCGCAATTCTGTCGCAAGTTAATCGTGCGTATACATCAGATAGCCTAGAATTGCGCCTTGAAGTTATAGATGTGCGCAGCTCCTTACTGGTCTAGCGGGGACATTGCCTTCATGCATCTGATAGCACTTCTGGTACAGTTCGAAGTGTCATAGTCAAACCTTTTATATTGTCTGCAGATACACGCTTTCTTCTTTGCCTTCATATTCTGCAATACAAAGTACTGTCTGTCGACGACGTCCCAGTTATGTGAAGATCCAATCCTGGTTGGCCACTTCTTCATGCTTACTGCAACTAGCTTTTAACATTAATTCTAATCGACAAATCGCGACTGTAATGAAATACGGGAAGAGAAGGAATACGATACTGAAAACTGAGCTATGCATCGTTCCGGTGCTGGTCCAGCATATGTTGTGCACTCGTGTAGGAGTGTCATGCATGTAGTGGAGAAGGATAGAGCCATTCATACTACACCTGCTGAGAAGCCGGGTGACGAATGTGCCTCTGTTGAGCTCTGGTACGGCGTGTTATACTAAATCAGCGTGCGCGAGCACGAAAGGATGATTAGTTTTGGCTATAAACGAGCACAGAGTTAAGCTATATGTATGATCGGTCTAAAAATTAAGGTTAGCTGGTTTGGTATATCTATGATGCGCGTCAGAGCTTAAACAGAGGTACGAACACTGGTGTTACATATGAATTACAACCAGTAAGTACTCTGGCAGAAGGCTCAACGTAGTACGGCTTCATAAGATACATCTCTGAGGTAATGCGCAACGCTCAGCAGCAAGAATTTGATAACATCATTTGATACAAGCAAAAATAATACAACCAAGTATACAGCTTCAAGAAATTCCCACGTCGATCTCGTAGTTCTCCTTGGTTTAGATTCTTTATTCTTAATACATTCGTAGCTATGAGATGCATCTGGCAGCCTGGCAGGGCTGTATACAGTTGTGCACACGGTCACAATCTTGCGCAAACAACACAAGCGAGACGAAAGCCGGTAGTTGTCGGCAAACCAGCGGCGGTAGCCGGTAATAGTCATATGAAGGTTGCCACTTTTCAGCCTTCAGGTGTTATGTTGTGTTGTGACGAGTGTGATGCCAGTCATGCCACTGTTTACATTTGCAACAAGCGGACTTGCTAAACCTATCCAATCTTCGCGGCAAGTGACCAACGATAGCATTGGCAAGTGTTTAACCGTGTCAATAGGTTTTGAGTTTTGACACCTGTCGACTGCTGATCTGTGGCATTCCGCATAAAGTGTCGTACTTTTTATTCTGCAAAAAAAGTTGCGGTTGATGTATCCGAATTCCGAGGCGGGTTTGCGCGGATTCGCACACAAGCTATAAGCGATGATGTATATGTTTACTACACTACTATTCAGATAGTTCATATACTACGGAAACGATAGATCTCGGGTAATCTTGGTAGACGCACTTATTACACTCGCGCATTGCACGTTGAAGTTTTTAAGGAGGACAGACCATCATGAATCAATCCGTAAAACTAGATCAGAACGACGATCTGCTGTGCACTTTGAACGAGAGCCTCAAAGAACACAACGTACCCGGGCTGAGTATCGGTATTATTGATCCAGCATGTATGTCTGATAATAGGATTGGCGATGAAAAAATTCCTAGTTGCGTATATACCGTGAGTGCCGGTCACAGCAAGAAAGCGGATACTGGCGATGAGAAGAATGTGTGTATGAACGAGGACACATGGATGCAACATGCGTCGCTCAGCAAGACTATCGCGGCTGCTTTCAGTATAGAGTACTTTTCGAAGTTAGATATCCCTTTGACTACACCGGTGAACGAGCTATTTGATAAGTAAGTTTGTGCTGAGGAATTGCTTTGCTTGTGAATCACACAACGCAACTAGGGAGAGTATACATATCAAAGGCTAGAATAGTCAGAATACCCAGAAGCACACTAAATCGTGCAATAACTCATATATTCATACACAGCTGAGGGAGATTGACTCATAGCCACTGCCAAGCCTGTGACTCTTGAATTCTGCGTTCCTGTTAATATTTGTGATACATTTGACAGGTGTGATAGCGTGAAATAGTTCATATATGTTGCTGATCCAATCATGATTGAACTTACAATATCTGTTTACACCACCAAAGAGGCACAGTGCACATCACATAACACTTACGGTGATCAAAAAGGATTCACTACACTCAACTCAGAAGCATACGTCACACACGCATTGGTGTAAATCTCAACGCTCACTAGTTGAGGATGATAGCCTACCTATCATTGACAGCTGAGAGTGTGGGGGGGGGGTGGGTAAACGGCGTAGGAATTCAGATAGACAAAACGTCCACATAACTTTAGCAAGCATGCACATTTACATTAGTGGACGCGAAACGATGTGCATACTAACTACCAAAACACTACACTACAGATTAGGTTCTGAGGGAAACTGCAGCGGCTACCGCCTGAAGTCAGGAACAGACCTGCCCACGGAATGGGCCGAAAAGGTGACTCTTGCGATGTTAATCAACCACACAGCCCTGGGCATGCACTACGTGTATGGTATTCCTCCAAGCCGCGAGGGGGGTATGCCCGCAGGTAAGAGTGGGTGGGGATCTGAGTCGGCAAGTAAGGGCAGTTCAACATAGCACTGTTATATCGAGCTACTACAACATAATACAGTACGCCAATAGTACACTATTGCGCAGACTAACCACGCTTTCATAGACGCAAACTGCAGATGGAAACGAAACACTCAGATTTCTCCATTCGCAGAAGGCCATTCTGAACCAGACCCGAGGCTCCATATTATGTCAGGCATACATACGCCAACCTTTTTGTACCTGGAGATTCTTACATATCCCATCATATCCCTTCTTGTCGCGCACAGTTCTGGATCTTCTGACCGGGGTGTACCATGATGACTACGGCTATGCAGACATGCCTGTGGACCGCGAACCTGGAACCCAGTTCAAGTACGTGAGGTCAAACGATCAGGGTTTGGTTTTTTCTGTGTGTACAACATCGTTTTTGCACGTAGGAACGACTACTAGTATCATAAGCCGGTTACAGCAGGGTACTCAGTGGCCCGTGGTGTATGCATGAACTTTGTGTTACCCATAAACACCCGTGCAGCATGGTCCTCATTCCGTCTGTACAGCTGCTACCTTATTGCAATCGACATTTGAGACTACCACCCTCCTATGCCCATCTTTGCCAATACCTTGAGTTATCTCTAAATATGACTGCCGGGCGTGGTCCGTCTACCTGAGCACAGCTCTGCATAGACCCGTGAGACCTACTATTGACCCCCCTCCACCCCCAATTTTCCACAACACTGTACAGGTACTCTGGTGGGGGTTTCCTCGTACTACAGCACCTCCTGGAACTGAGAGAGAAGAAACCCATTGAAGTTATACTACGGCCTTTCCTGGATGCCTGTGGGATGCCTGCTAGCACCTTCTCATTCGATCAGGTCGCACTCGGCGGAAACGCTCACAAATGCGCCAGTGGCTATCTCGAGGATGGAAGTATGGTATGTACCTACTTACAACTAGTGTGAATTGATAGCTCGTATGTGTAATACATCTGATTTGTGAAAATGGGGAGCTTGTTGGTGAACCGTATCTCATTGATGTACGTGAATAGCACCAGTGTATATGAGACCTTCAGCCAATGAACTTGTCCTCGCAAATACACATACAGCCCCAGCCATAGCATTGAATTAGTTGAACATGGTTGAAGTTATTTTGTCGCCTCTGTAGCCCGGTACTACTACAGAACCTGAAACGCGTACAAACAGGTATTTGTTACATACGTGACATGATCTTCGCTATTGCTCAACTAGCACGCCTCGCCATTGCTTAAGACCGTAAGTGTTGATTATATCAGGTACAAGACTCCCGTCTGATGTTTCCACCACTTGCCGCCGGTGGCCACGGCACCGCAGTTGCCATGGCAACCTTCTTGTTTCATTTGGGAACTGCGTATAAACTGCCAGCGGGTGAGAAGTCCGGCGCAATTTCGCACGCGACGGCTGTGCTTATGATCGATACAGGGCGGCCAGGTAGGGGCAGCCCCACAGTGTTGCTATATACACACCATTTGTTTGTGCAATATGTGCCCACGTGTACATACATCATTGCTACACCAATGCTTGTGCTCGTCTCCTTGCACACTCGCGCAATCAAGCCCGCTGGCACCTGTACACGCCTCCTGACAGCTCCACCTCATACGCCTTGACCCAATACCCGCAGGGGACAACCCGAGTGCAATCCAGCAACAGTGTTTTGAGTTCATGAGGTCGAACATGGGATTGGGAGTGTTTGTGCTGTCCGCTGGACCGAACACCTTCCTGCTGCATCAGGCAGCGAACGACGGTTTTCGTGGGCTGTACTTGGTATGTTAGCATGCAGCTCAGGGCTGCTGCTGTGCATCTAAGAACAGGCAGACTATGTGAAATATCACAGACACGCGCCAGAATGGTTTATATGAGTGCCAGTGGTACTACCGCTTAGTCACTTGCAAACGGCAAATATACACACTGCCGCAAACATGCACTGGAATCATGTCCGTATTTGCAGGCTGTGAGTGTGCCTAGACTCTGCCGCAAACGCGTACTAGAATCAGGGACCCCTGTGCTTCTGTGTGTGTTATCTGCCCACTCACACGTAGACGGTCCTTTGTGATATAAGGTTTCTGATATCGTTCAACTTACTTGAAACGTAAACGGATTTGTCTTCAGCGTTTACAAGTGTGCACTACTTACAGAGTCTGGGCTGACTTGCCTCTCAACTCACCGTGTTTACTGTGTAGCATATGCGCCAGATGGTGGGCTGTCCAAATTGGAATGGCTGTCGATCATGACTGCCTGTTAAATTGATACAGAATTGCGCACGAATATGTACATTGTATATGGGTTAAAAAGGCAAACCAAATCATTCGTCACTACCTGGTGTTATAGAAAGAGGTGTCGTTTGGAGCTTACAGGTTGTCCTTGCTTTAAGTTTGCAATACTCTACCTTTATTTCTTTTACAAACACGACAATCTCGTGCACGTGCTTGAGCGTGTTTAGTTTGTTGTAAATCGTAAGTGGGAATGTATGTCAATTTTCATCCCGTTATATCCGTATGTACATACAATTGGCCACGATCCAAGTGATCACATCTTGCAATGTGTGTGTGATGGCGAGTCAGTCTTTACTAAAATACAACTCATGTACAGTTGTAATAACTTTATGTGAAACCCTTTTTACTCTCTGTGTGTGCACGCGTAGGTATGTGTGGATGGACCTGACGCACTTCAGGGCCCGCGGGGAGCTGTCATTCTGTCCAACGGAAACAACAACGCAATGTTCCTCAACTGCGCAGTGGCCAAGGCCGTACTGAAGACAATGAAGTTTCAGGGTAAGCCACCTACACACATCTACCTAATACATCTACCTACATAAGTGTAGATGCCAAACGACACATGCACGTGCGTTGGCCACCACTTCAGTGTGATTTGTCCGACATTGATTTATCGTTTGGTGCATTGCGCGAATATTCTGAACAGGTCTCCCGTGTTTGTGAAAGCAACTTATACTTATAGGCTTGCGCTTTATACCTTGGGTCCTTTCTTATAATGAGTAACCAATTATATATCCCTTCAGGCATGGATTGGAGTCTTGTGGACGGTAAGGACTTCTCATCGAAGGGCATTGCACAAGAACAAATCGTGAACTTAGGACTGCGCGAATTGGTTCTCGCTGCTTTCCAATAAACTTTTAAATGACAACAGAAATACACTGACGGATACAGACAATTGAAATTCTCAAGTGATAGCTTCATTTTCAGATTCGGTAAGCTATGTATATATTGCACATATAATTTCAATGGTATCGAGTATCGTTACTAAAAGCAGCGGTGTCAATGTCAAAACGACAGGCGCCTATATCGCGCTGTAACGTATGCAAGGGGTCTCAAACAGTCGCCCTTGCTTTTTGGCATGCAGTTAGCTTGCGACTTGTAAAGTAATAGCACCATATCTCTAATCCTTTTTTATAGTATATTTGGCAGTATAGCCATATGCGACTAGCGTGAATACAATTCTGTAGATAACGTCTCTGAATTGAACAAGACGATACATCGCATTTCTGAATCAAAATCCCACACCGCATCAGTTAACTTCATACTACACATCATGCTGTCGTCGAGCTCTGTTTCACCACTGGCCGTAGTATTGCAAACGGTGAATTGGTTAACCCCTTTGGCATGATCGGTTGGCCGTTGATACCAACCACTTTGCTTCGCCCAGCGTCTATCGGCGTTGTTGTCTCGCCCATACTACCCCTGGCCGAGGCATGTGCAGTGGGTGTCGAAAGAGTCACAGTATCTGCCTGAGAATGTGGGTTGCCAGCCATAGATATGTTCTGTGGTGTATATAACTTCGCTGCCATATCCCGCAGACCAGACGGGACAGTGCGGCGCTGGACTCTGCGGTTTGCCACCGCAACTCCCGACACTCGTACGTCACCCGTGGACCTGTTCTTGAGGAGACTTGCGCCCATACGACCACTCTTGCCAGTCCAACCCGAGACGCCCGTTGCAGCTTGCACCTGGTGCGATGACTGTGGCTGTGGCTGTGGCTGTGGCTGTGTTGGTGTACTTCTGAAACCCTCGTTGTCATACAGGCCTATCCCTGCGCCGGGCCCGTGCTCTCTGCATAGTTTGCAGATCCAGTCTTCAAACTCTGAAGGCGGTGTGGTTAGCGGCGGGTTGCAGCACGCCATGTGCGTGCCTGTATCGCAGCACTCGCACAGCAGCATACCTCTCTCTTCCATAGACCCGCACTTGGTACACCTCTTACAGAAGTTACAGTACCATGGCGCTGTGCTGCGGTACAGATTGTCCACCAGCTGTCCACTGAAGTCGTAACACGCGCCGTGTCCGGCATTCTTGCACGACGGGGTGGCGCACACGAATAAATACTCCATGCCACCTTCGACGTGTGAGTTATCTGGATCGCCACACAAAGTGCACTTGGGTGTCGCATCCTTTACGGGTAACGTTTGCATCTCCAACTCGGCATTGGCTTCAGACTCGGAGACCTCACTACCACCCCCGGAAGTAAACTCGGCCTCGGGTTCGCTTCCTGGTTCTAGTTCACTGCTGCTACTGGCCCCCATACCACCCGTCTGCGTCACTCCATCCCCAGCCCTATCACTTGCAGCCCCTTCCGCCCCCTTGCGCTTTCTGTGTGCAGCCACAAACGCGTCAATCGCAAGCAACTCGTGGTTTGGTGCGGCTTCCATGGGTTCATCCATTCTCGCCCGTTTCTTAGACCCCCGCGCCTGTCTGTTGGTCTCTGAGCTCGCTGCGCCTGTTTGGTTCGGTTGTCCAATCGACTTGCGCTTCATAGCCTGCGCCCCCTCTACCGGTCCTTTCCATCTGTCCAGTTCTTTGGACCTGGGTGCCGTGCTGCGGTCTGGTTTCGCCCTAGATTCACCACCAACTCGCTTGCCATTCGGCTTGTACTGATACTCGGCAGCACGCGCCCGCTTGCCCCTGCTATCGGCCGTACCTCTCGAACTACCACCGTCTGTACGCAGACTGGCGTCTTTCTTCATGGACGGCTTTCTGTGACCGACATATTTACGTTCTCCGTGTGACCTGCCTTTCTTCATGCCTGTCTGAAGGTCCGGCATCTTACCAGGTCCTCTAGCTCTCCGCTGTAGGCCACCTCTGCGCTGTTCTTGCGCATCCCTCACTCCCCTGGCGCTCCCGTGCTGCCAAGTACCATACTTTGTATACCGTCTTTTCTGGTCCTTCACGTCGAAAAGGGCATCACTTCTTTGTCGGGTCCTTCGCGCTTTACTTCTGTTGTCAGTTGATACATCTCTCTCATGCACTGTGTGCTGGCTTCCATCTCCGTCTCCGCCATTCCAAGTCGCCGCCTGGTTGTTGGCCGTGTAGTATTGGACTATGTCGGTCTTCTCGCTCAATCGAGAGCTCACAGACATATTCTCGTGCTTCGTATGTGAGATTGGTGTACCGCCATTCCGCACAAGCCGACTGGCTTCGTTTGCCTCCTTCGCTTCTCGGGCGGCTGCTAACCTCGATTCCTCGGGCACAGTAGGACATACCAAGCAGTGCACCTTCCAATCAGACGCCTGCGACAAATAGTTGACAACGGCAAACCTCAGTACAGTGCAACAGGAGTTATCACACCAGATATAGCGAGATTTTAGAAGCATGGTCGGTTTTGGCTGGCAGAGCAGATATATCCACATTCCAGATGGTTCAACGAATGCATATGCTATGAGACACATCATGAACAAGCGTGTATGTAGGCCGAAATATGTAACTTACAACGGAGAAAGTGAATCGAATGCATACGATATGAGACACATCATGAACAAGCGTGTCTCTGCACCGAATTATGGAACTTACAACAGAGATATTGAATCGAATGCATATGATACGAGACACATCATGAACAAGCGTGTCTGTGCACCGAATTATGGAACTTACAACAGAGATAGTGAATCGAATGCATATGATATGAGACACATCATGAACAAGCGTGTATGTAGGAAGAATTATGGAACTTACAACGGAGATAGTGAATCGAATGCATATGATTTGAGACACAACATGAACAAGCATGTATGTGCACCGAATTATGGAACCTACAAAGCACCCATCGCCGCAGTACATTCGTTGTAAACAAGGGCAGGCCTCTATGGCTTCGCGGAATCGACAATAATCGCAGGTTTGCGGAGACGTTCCTTTTTCTCGTGCCTCTATCACTTCCCGTACCAACAATGCAGATCGTTGCTCCGCCGGTACAGTAGAACACAGCCACCGATGCTCCTTCCAGTCCGATTGCTAAGAATTTGCGGAGAGATTAATAAAAGTCAGAAGACAAAAACTTCTGCAATACAAATTGATAGAATTCAGACAAGGGCGCGATTGGGCTACTTGTGTACGCTGTAGCAGTGAAAACCCTTCAGCTTGTGGGATTTTCCGTATATGTATATCTGAAGTTAAAGAGACCCGTACCGATCCGTATACACGCAAATATATTTGATACATGTATATACAGAAATATACATACATGAAATGTATATACGTATGCACACATATATGCACACATACATACATACACGCACACATATACACACACATATATATATATACACAGACGCAGACCCAGACACAGACACAGACACATACACAGACACAGACACAGACACACATACATACACAC